TCTTCCTCTCTCTCTCTCTCTGCCTCCCTCCCTCCCTCCCTCTCTCTTCCTCTCCCTGTGAAAAAAGAAATAGCTTGACAAAAAAGAAAAACTCCCCCCCCTTCCTGGCTGCTCTGTTGCCCCCCCCCCTGCCCTAGATTTTAAACTGAATGCTAGGCTCAGCTCTGCAGGGGAGAGCCCAGACGGAGGGAAATAGCTTGGGAAAAGAATACCTTGGCTGGGGAATGGGGGAGGTAGCTAGAATAGAAGCAAAGGAAGACTCACTGGGCAGAGATCTGCTGGACTGTGTGGTTGAGATAAGCGAGGGAACCAGGGAGCAGCAGCAGCCGCACTCTAGGCAGGCGAGGTACGAAAAGGAGGTAGTGGGAGGGGTGGGAGGTGAGGGTGGAGCCAATCAGTGGTGCATTTTACCGGTTCTCTGACCTGCCAATAATTTGTCCTACTGTTCAGGAGAACCGGTTGGATTTCACCCCTACTGGAAGTGCTCAGCTGACTGGTGGCCAACAGAGCCCCAGACAGAATTGCGCCCTGCGAGGCGGCCACCTCCAGCACTCCTCTGCCACGTCCCTTGCCTCATAGCGCCCCCCCTGCTGCCCCCCTTGCCTCTTAGTGCCCCCCCCTGCTGATCCCCTTGCCTCTAAGTCATCCCACCACCCCAGGGCGGTACCGCCCACTTTGGGAACCTCTGGTCTACAGTTTAAATCAAACACAAGTCATCACACTGGTTTACCACAGTGTGTGAGCTTACCCAGTTTTTACTATCTTACCTATCTGATTAAGACATAGTTCTCACATGTAGTGTAAGTTTCCTCCCCTTCTAGGCCCATTCTCCTGCAAGCACTACCCGGCCTGCACTAATCAATTGCTGACTCTACTCTGGCTGCTGTAAATCTTTCCTTTCCCCCACAAAGTTGGCCTCGTAACTTTTCTGTGTACTGCACTCAGAATCCAAAGTCAAGATTCTCTGAGAAAGTTGGCCAGGTTTTAGTTTTTCTTTTTTCTCCTCTCACGTGCAATCTTTCTTTCAAAAAAGAAGGCAGGCAAATTGAACAAATCCTTCAAAAGGATCCTGGGATCTGTACAGTGCAACAACAACAAAGCAAAAGGATGGTGGAGGATTGCTGAAGGCCTACAAAGCAAGGAAAACTTTTCCAGAAAAGCCAGGATAGCACTGAGATTTGGGGAAAGATGCAACTTTTGTGCCTACTTTTCGTGATTGGTATAAAGAGCTGTTGTAAATGTTTGCATTAATTATATTTTAAATACAGAAAAATGTCTTCCAACTGATCTGTGCCGTGACTAAGTGTGGGTGGGGAAAGCTTCTTAGGGCTGGTTCTCCCAAGAGTTGGCATGGGAGGATAATAAAGAACACTGTTTCTCAACTTGGCAACTCTAAGGTGTGTGGACTTCAAATCCCAGAAGACTAGCTGGGGAGTAATGTCCACACATACTAAATTTGCCAGAGTTGAGGAATACTGATGAATAAAGTATCTCATAGTGCAGTGGTGTGAAGATGACAAAGGCAAGGGTTATCTTGCCCTCAGGTTTTTGTTTTAGAAATGAAATCATGTCCAATTCTCACAGCCTGGACAAGTTCCTAAAGTTTTCTTGGCAAAGCTAGTTAAAATGTG